CAACAGATAATACCACATTTATTTGTCCCATTAATGCTTTGCCTCTCTATTTTTCTTCTAAATGTCCTTCCTCAGACTCTACTCTTTCACACTCACTATATCTGGTATTTACATCCATTTACTGTGTTTCTATGTCATTTCTGTTTAGTACATAACACAAACTGGAAAGTGAATTAGAGATCCAACTACTAAAACCCTATTGTCATGTGAGAAATCTAAAGTAAAGAGTGGTTTGTGATTTGGCAAAGGGTATTTTCCTAATGTGTGGAAAAGCTAGGGACAAAACTTCAAGTCAATTGGCTCATCCTCTAGTGCTTTTTTTTTCCCCTCAGTGGAAGGCTTTCAAAAATATGTTTTTGTTATGTTCAATGCTTTGAAGACCAGCAATGCATTCATACTATGTGGTGAAAACTCAACTAATCATAATATTAATAGCAGTATACAAATTGTCATTGTCATTGTTTTTGGTACACATAGATTATATTGCAAATATGCATTCAGGTATGATATACTTTAATCCCAAAATGTCAGCTACAAAGCATATATATTTGCATTAAAAATGATTTTTTTCATTTTCATTCTTTTATTTTTAATAATAAAGACCATGCCTGCAGAAGGGAGAAAGTGAAGGGTATTTTTAACAGGGTTTCACATAATCTTTCTGCCTCAGCTTCCCAGTCATCTAGGACCACAGACACCTGCCATTATTCCTGGTCTGTTTAGGTTGGGCCAGAAACCAAACACAAACCTCCCATGTGGCTTAAGCCACCGTGCCCTCTCTTATACCACCACGGTTGTGCCAACAAATGCTTTTGACTTTTAACCACAGGTCCCTCTCAAATGGGAAAGCTTATAGTAGGTTTATAATTTTTTTTATTTCTATTTAAAAAATAAAATAAAATAAAACATTGGGGCCAGCAGGTGACATGGTGGTTAAGGTGCTGGACACTCCTACATGGCTGACCACAGTTTGAGTCCCGGACCTGGTGGCTTGCTTTCTCACTTTCTTTCTCTCTCTCTCTCTCTCTTTGTGTCTCTCTCTGGTCAAATTTAAAAAAAAAATGAGTGTTGGGATCAGCAGTTAGCATAATAGCTATGTCGCTGGACTCCCATGTAGTCGACCGTGGTTCACATCCCGGTTCCCGTGGCTTAAAACTCACGCTGGGCGCATGTGAGTGCATGCCCAAGATCCCGAGAGGAGAATGGAGGAAAAGGGATTGCTGCGTGGCCATCCCCCCTGGGGGGTGATTTCTCGCTTTCTGTCTCTCTGTCTCTGTCTGTCTGTCTGGTGAGCGCACGCACCCTATAGTGAAAACCTCTCAAAAAAAAAAAAGAGTGATAAATAAATAATTTCAAAAAACATTTATAAATCACTGCCTACTTTAAAAAGTCTTGTGAAATATCTTTTTGATGTATAAGACACACTCACTGACATACTTTCAGAGCTGATTATTAATTTCTGATCAATTTAGTAGTAAAACTAAAATTTCTCTGCTTAGATTCCCCGTCTTAAGAGAATGAATATCTAACTACCAATGAGACATGGAAGCTATTTTAGCTGCCATGAAGCCTAAAGAATTTGAGATAATATTGTTGTCCAGTTTGGGCACAGTCACTATTGATTAATCAATTCATTGAAAGGTGAATTGATTGAGGACATTTTTGTTATCCAAAGTAGACTTAATATGGTATAATGGAGAACTTCCAAGACTTGTAGACATTGTGATTAACAAGTAATGTGAACTTCAACTCTGCATCTCAGTTTTCTCTGTATAGTTGCAGGATTGGATAAGATATTCTTCTTAGCTTTGTTATTTTGTGATATGTAATATATGTGAGGATTTTGTTTTTTTTTTTATCCTAGCTACTATGCTTCTCTAGGGATTAGAATTACAAATCACTAAAGTATAGTCATCACAGCTGAATGGAGTCTTGCATCAAGGGACATAAACATCCCTTGCGTGGCTTCCTTTTTGCCTGACTCAGGCCTAGCATATAATTTATATACAAAAGTTTAGTAAAAGTAGTGCCATGGCCTGGATAGATTCATCTAGAGATTTTGTTTGTGTATGCTAATTTCTTTTTCATTGATGTGGCTAGGTGGACATTCAAATATTTAAAACTGTGCCAGCCTTGTAGCAAAGTAATTAAGTGCTGTGCAGAGGAAGTCAGATCCTATATAGGTGCCTGGGGTTCAAATCTTGGCAGTATGCTGTGGATGTGTGAATGTGTCCAGAATCCTGACAGGATGGAGAATTGGAAGAAAAAGGATTGCAGTGGGACCAGGCCCCCCTAGGGACTGCCTCCTCCCTCTCCCCACTTAGTGCATGTGCACATGCCATAAGACAGTAAAATTAAATAAATAAAATTAAAAGGTATGTTGAATTACTGTTTAAAAGAGCTCTTGAGGTTCACATTTTTTCTATACTCTACAATTTACAAGATTGTATTAGATTTTCTCTGCCTCTACATCATAAGTTACACTCTAGTGAGGGTCTCAGGACTTAGTTGTCAACACTTTCATTGTATTGTTACCTAGTTGGAATGAGAAGCTGAAACAAAGGTTTTATTTTACATACTTCTATTTAAATGATATATAATAGGGAAGATGGTGGTGGTGTATCTGTTAGAAAATGAGGAAATGGGGGGACCAGCAGGTGGCGTGGTGATTAAGGCGCTGGACACTCCCACATGGCCGACCAGGGTTCAAGTCCTGAATCTGGTGACTTGCTTTCTCACTTCCTCTCTCTCTCATTCTCAACCTCTGTCTCTCTCTGGTCAAATTTTTAAAAAAATAAATGAATGAATAAGTAAAAATAAAATAGTAAAAAAATGAAAATGAGGAAATGGGGATGCTAATCTTCCTTGAAACCATGTTCTAGATTGAGAGAATTGGGTATCATATGATTTCTGTTATAATTTTATTCTTCTGAGTGGAGCTTATAATAAGATGTTGAAATTGGATTTGAGTATTTGAATTTCTTCTTACTGGATGAAGGAGTTGTTAAAGAAATCCCCATTACTCATCATGTTAAGGAAGGATATGAGAAAGCAGATCCTGCTCAGTTTGAATTGCTCAAGGTTCTTGGTCAGGGATCATTTGGCAAGTTAATGAATACTCTTTACCGCATTTGTTTCTCTTCTGAATATTAAAAAATATGATAAACATGCCATTTCTAAATTTCTCAAAAAATGTATTTAAAAGTATCTCTAGTTTTATTTCTTTCATTCCTATTATATTTTTATTCTCATTTCTTCATACTTTTCTGTAATAATTAAGATTTTCTAATTCCCTGGGTTTACCGATTTCTCTACCGAACAATATAGTATGCTCTTTATTAGCTGCCTAAATCAAGGTAGTTTGATTTCTGTTAAAAATGATATTCTATGGGGCCAGCAGGTGATGTGGTGGTTGGGGCAGTGGACTCGCACATGGCCGACTGCTGTTCAAGTTCTGGACCTGGCACCTTGCTTTCTCACTTTCCCTCTCTATCTCTTTCTGGTCAAATTAAACAATAAGAATAATAATAAAACAAATAATTATTTAAAGAAATGATATTCCTGAGGCAGTAGCTGGCTTGGAGATTAAGGAGACTGAATCCCGCATGGCTGACTGTGTTGTTCTAGTCCTGAAAAACATGCCGAGTGTGTGTGCATGTGTGCCCAAAATCCCAAGAGGAAAATGAGAGAGAAGGGATTGTGGTGTGGCCATCCCCTTGGGGAAGAGATTTCTCATGACCTCTCTCCCCCAGCTAACACATGTACTGTATAGAGGATAAAAATTGTATTCATTGTCTCTTTTTTTACATACTAGCATGAACATAGCTTTTTCTTTCTTGGTGATTTCCTTATTTCTTAGCTCTATCATGGAAGTTAGAATTTATATTTTAATTCATGTGTGAGTTAATAAATTTATCTATTACTTGTTCAAGTAAAGTAGAACGGGGTGGATATTAGATGATACATGGATTGTGTGAAATTCTGGCCTCCAAGGAGCTTAAATTTCAAGGGAAAAGGAAAAATTTATAAAGATTAACTCTTACACTCACTATTAGGTTTGTTTATAAAGTGCTTAATAACATATGTAGGTCTTATTCCTGACTTTTGTACACCAAACACCTAAGACAGGAAAATTATTTCATACACATAGTAAGCAACAATTTTTAGGAAAAGAGCTACAACCAAAACTTAAGAGGGGAAAGGAAAGGAGAAACTACTAATTTCAGGATGGCCATAGTTTAATTTAAAAAGAGAGTGTAAGGCCGTTGAGAAGTGATTATCTTATTTTACATATGACCCATGATATGTTGTTATCCTCCTGCCTTAGCCTTTCAAGTAGCTAGGACCACAGACACATAACACTATACCCTGCTCCTTTTTTAGACATAGTTTTGCAATGTTTTCCAGGCCAGCTTTGAGCTCACAATCCTCTTGACTTAACCTCCAGAGTCCCTGGGATTAAAGAGGCATACCACCATGTTTGACTTTTTAGAGTGAGCCAGAAATTAAACCTGGACCTCCCATGTGGCCTCAGCCTGCAGAATCTATGAGTATGTGCTACTGGAGTTGGACTGACCAGTGATTATTTATAGTGCTATGGAATGTATCAAAAAAACATTTAGACCCAGTCACAGTGGCAAATGCTACTAAGAAGCTTTGTTCTGCAGTCTAGGACCACAGGGGAACCCCATGTTCGATTCTCAGCTCAACCTGTGCTTGCTTAATCAGAGTCACCTTTTCGCACCCTAGCCTTTTGCTATGAACAGTACATGCCTCATGTAGGCACTGGTTCAAGGGGAATGAGGGACACATGTAGCATAACTAGAACCATCCTGCAGCCTTAGAGCTGACCCCAGTCTTGATCAGCCGAACCCCAATCTGTAGATGCATAACTGAGAACTAAATATTTATTGTTTAATGCCTTTAAGTTAGGATTGTCACACAGAATTTTAAGTCTAACCTAAATACTGGGTGCAGTAGCGTGCATCTATAATTGAGCAACTTGGAGAGGTTGAGGCAGTAGGATCACAAGCTTCAGGCTGGCTTGAGCAACATAGTAAAATCCTGTCTTAAGAAAAAAAAAGACATTTATTGAGCACTTGGTGTGTGTGCAACAGTAGTACATGCAATATTGGTAATTATAAAACAGACATTGATTGTCTTGAAGTAGCCTGGTATTTATATGGTATAAGATATCATGTGAAATATATAGAAACATTTTTAGGGCCCAATAAAGGATGAGCTAAGTTGGGATTATGGCTTGGCAATTCATTGGTACAGGAGATATATAAAAACAAGGAGGTAAGACTTGTTGAACAGTATTTTGGAGAAGGAAAAAATAGGAGCAGTTAATAAATTGTGATAGGGAGAGTGTCTATAGAACTGAACTATGTGCATTCTACACACTTTTATTTTTAAGGGTCTAAAAGTTTAACCATTTTGTGCTGGGTAACTATTTTTATTCCGTTAATTTTAGAAGAACAGAGATAAAATTCTTTTATATTCCAAGTATATAAGTGCTTAAATATTTGACTTAAAATTTCACCAGGTAGACATTTAAAGCTATTCAGATTAGTAGGTTGTTACTTGATGTTTGTATTTATTCATGTGTACATTTATTTCCAACTTTGTGCTAAAAAGGATTTAAGGCTTTCATAAATGAACACTCAATAAAATTAAGTTAAAAACAACTAGTGAAGATGATGGATGCAGAAAAATCAGAGCAGTAAAGTTTAAAGGAAGCCAGTTATATACTCTATTGTTCACAAAAGCAAGACATAAGGGTTTTTAAGTCTTCTAGAAGTGGGCCAAAACTAGTTTTTCTTTTCTTTCTTTCTTTTTTTTTTTTTTTTAAGCAGTCATTATAAACAAGCTGA